CCCTGGAGTGATAAAAATCCCCCCCCAAGACCCCAGCGCGAGGGAGGGGAACGCGGACCAGGCCGCTGGGAAAGCCGGCACCGAACGCTCCCTCGCGGGCGGCCTCTCCCTTTGGGCCCTCGGGGTGGGGGCCCGGGCTCCAGAAGGACTGAGCCCCCCCACGTCCGCCTGTTGCAGTGGAGTGGGGGGTGCCAGATGGGGCGTCCCCAGCCCCGGGCAGGTGGGGCTCGTTAGTCACTAATTAGCAAAGGCCCGGACCAGGCCGCTGGGAAAGCCGGCACCGAACGCTCCCTCGCGGGCGGCCTCTCCCTTTGGGCCCTCGGGGTGGGGGCCCGGGCTCCAGAAGGACTGAGCCCCCCCACGTCCGCCTGTTGCAGTGGAGTGGGGGGTGCCAGATGGGGCGTCCCCAGCCCCGGGCAGGTGGGGCTCGTTAGTCACTAATTAGCAAAGGCCTTTCTCTCTCCCTGCAGGACCCCGCCTTGCCCTTGGCGCGATGGCGGACAAGCGAGTGGAGTTCCTGGAGAACTACTCCACGCTCTCCCTCCGCTTCAAGCCGGACAAGTGGGCCAAGTTCGTGGGCAGCGAGGAGACCAGCGCCATGCTCACCGAGTTCTTCGAGAAGCAGGACTTGCTGGCGCTGGTCCTGAGCCTCGCCCCCGCCGGGCAGCTGGTGCCCTGCCTCGACTTCCCGCCGGCGCTCAAGAGCAAAGGGGTTTACTTCGTCAAGCAGAAGAAGGAAAACATCACCAAGGAGAACTTCCGGACCCGGCTCCTGGTGGGCGACATCAGCCCCTTCCCCGTGGACCAGCTCATCGCCAGAAGCAGGACTTGCTGGCGCTGGTCCTGAGCCTCGCCCCCGCCGGGCAGCTGGTGCCCTGCCTCGACTTCCCGCCGGCGCTCAAGAGCAAAGGGGTTTACTTCGTCAAGCAGAAGAAGGAAAACATCACCAAGGAGAACTTCCGGACCCGGCTCCTGGTGGGCGACATCAGCCCCTTCCCCGTGGACCAGCTCATCGCCGTGGTGGAGGAGGTGGGTGCCCCGTCCCGTGGGAACGCGGCTGGCCACGTGGGGGCGAGGGAGCAGCGCAAAGCCGCTGGGCACGGCGGCCGCCCAGGCAGACCCTGGCTCTGCAGCTGCCGGGGCGCTT